CACACACACACACACACACACACACACACACACACACATGCACACACACACACACACACACACACACAAACTCAATTGATAATGCAATGACTGCATATGGTGACAACAAGCAATCTCATTGTGGTGTGAACCAGGAACTTTGCTACACGTCCAAGGCGAACGCCGATATAAATACGGGTGGATTATTCAATTAGCAACGGATGTTATAACCGAGTCGGAAGAAGATGCATTGCGGCAATGGGAAAATAAGTTCAACAATTACAAAACACTGTCAAGCACTACGAATCCAGCGACGCGAGAGAAGTTAAGATTCACGTTCCATGATATGAGTATCCTCATGAGTGGCACAAGATGGTTGAACGATGACATTATAAACTTCTATAGCAATATGATAAAGGTTGACAACATGTGTAGGACTTTCCATCGAGAGTGCGATACGCAATCTAACATGTCCGTGAAGTACGCAAAGGGTTTGATTCCACGAACAACCGTATGTAACTCTTTCTTTTTGGTCAAGCTCATGGATGATAACTTCGGATATCACTATGACAAAGTAGCTAAATGGTTCAGAGATGTATTGATCGCAGACACTGACTTGATTTTAGCTCGATACCATAACATTCATGAAAAGCATTGGACACTTGTTGCAGTAGACCTTCGACAGAAAGTTGTAGAGTACTACGATTTGATGGAACCGAACTCGGACGTTGCAAAAAAGGTAGTCAATAACCTCGCGAGGTACGTGTACGATCGATCAACACAACAAGGAAAGCAAGTTGACACTAGACGTTTCAAAAATGTATTCGAGGTGGTTGGTATCCCGAAACAGAAGGACATTCATCAGTGTGGGGTATTTGTGCTAGCATACGCATCTCTTTTGGCAAGAGGTCAGTTGCCATCATTCAAATTCGATATGCACGATATCCAACGTATTAGACGTCGGATCGCACTCGACTCAGTAGCAACTAGAGAGGATGCGTAGAATGTGAGAGACTGCAGAGGAGATTGAAGGGGTTGAAAGGTGACAGTCATTGAATTATTGGGTTGCAAGTCACTTATGGCAGTTTGCAAAATTACAATGTTATGTACATCATGAAATGATACAACCGACAGATCGCAAAAACAGCAACATTTCCAACAAACTTGTACGCAGTCACACAACATGTAGGGGTCTATGTAAGGTATGGATATGTATGGTCTATGTGAGGTCTGCATATGTATGGTATATGTGGAGAGCAGAATGCAAAAGGATGGAGACCAAGAATGTATCATATACCATAGGCATATGGAGGGTGTATATGGTACGATGTGCATATGTATGGTACATGCGGCATGATGTAATATAGTAGGTACGGTACATGATAATTCACCTACTATATATGGTCCACATGATACCATACGACTACTACCTACCATGGTATACATATACAGCGAAAAGTTACGATTTTGCAGGAGAAATCTGTACATTTTTCACTCAATTCAATTTCGCGATTTTAGAAAAAAATGTCTGTTTTAACGAAATGTCAGTTTAGGGCCCATACGGGTGTACGTACGGCCCCCCCAGGTGGTCGTACGGGTCGTACGTACGGCCATACGATCCATTTCAGCGGCATTCCAGTGGGGGTCTCTGACATGG